AAAAGTTATAAAGGTTATTGTCTGAAAAAAATAGGAGCTTAAAATTATATATATATATATATATATATATATATATATATATATATATATGATGAAAAATATTCAGCTTGAAAAAGAAAAATTTTGAAAGTTGTTGAATACTTTGTTAAGAAAAAGTCTGCCTATTGAGATTTGATCGAAAGCTCCCATTAGACTGTGAATTGAAGTTAAAAGCGGAGATAAGTTGAGTTGGGGAATTACTGACTACTCTTTAGAGTGAAAGTCACCTTGCTTAGAAAAATTGTTCAAAACAATTTTATCTTGATGCTTTTCGATCAATAAGGTTTTGACAATGATCAATTGAAATTCAACTAAAGATGGATTGGATTGGATTTCACACACACACATGAACTTGCTAGATTAATGTCAAAAAATTTCAGAAAAATTTACAAGTTTGATTTCATGTTGTTATTACTTTATGAGATTTGAAATTATTTGAAAAGTCTACAGAGTCAAATATTTGTTCTCTAAGATATTTTTTTAAAAAATTCTCTAAAAGGGTTTTGAATCATGTGTTGACCAAATAATTTTAATAATTGGTGATTTGTTCTTTTAATTTTATTTTTTTAAAAAAAAAAAAAACAAAACAAAACAAAACAAAACAAGAAAAAATTTTAAAAATTTTAAAATTTCAAAAAGATTTTTTATTTTTAAGTTTCTAGATATTTCATTGTAAGTTTTTAATCATCAATGTGTTAGAAATATTCTGCAAAATTTTTTTTTTTAAAAAAAAAAAAAGAAGAAGAAGAAGAAGAACACAAGGTTTCAAGACTGTGTCTTGAACCGGTTCCAAAAGGTAGGAACCGGTTCAAGCTATCCACTAGCTGAAAGCCAAAGTGGACTGACGATCTGGAACCGATTCCAATGTTTGGGAACTAGTTCAAGGCTTCGGTTCAAGGCTTGAAAGGCCTGGTTGTGTACACGCTTTAGAGACACTTTGCTCTCTCTCTCTAGGAGCGATTTTTGCCCTTCTTCTCCACATCTCTTCTAACTCTCATACACCCACATATATACATCATTCATATATATATTTTATTCATCATTCCATAACATATCTTGCATGAATATCATTAAGGATTGAAGAACTATTACATGATGTTGAAGATTGAACTTGAAAAATGGGTTTGAGAATGAAATTAGAGTGTAGGTTTGAAGAATTTAGAGGATTGGTTAATTGTTTTGATTCTTGGGTTGGTTGAAGCTTCAAATTGTGCTTAGGATTATAGGCTTGCATTGTTATTGAGTTTTTGGGAGGATTGAAGATCAAATCAAGCTTTATCTATAAACACCTTTGGGGTTGCACGCCAGGTGTTTAATAAAATTACTGAAAGAATTTGTAAGCTTCAAAACAAAAAGTTGTGTGAATCATATGGCTCCTAAAATCTCCAAGGAGGCTAAAGGCAAAGGGGTTGCACACCCAAAGCCTCCCTAGAGGCCCAGAACAACCATTTGACATTCAAGAACCCCAAGAAGGTTCAAATGCTGCAAGAAGAAGGACATCAACTCCTAGAACAACTAACTCATCTTCTCAAGAGGTACCATCTGGGTATCTATCTGTATCACCAACAGAAAAGGTTGAATTTGAACAATGTCACTTCTACAATGACCATGCATGGAATGCTTATATTAACTACTACAAAGATGGTCCAATCAAAACTGAGAGGAATGTCAATTTAGAAAAGCTTCATGACACTACCGGATAAAAGCTTGTGACATACATTGAAACCAACAAATGGTTGTTCTTTATCAAGCTGGGCAAGAGCTACTTTTCTCCGGATATGGTACACTGCTTTTATGCCAATATTCGAGAGTTTAAGGATACTCACTTCATCGTATCAGTTTTTGGGATTGATTATATGGTTGATGAAGAAGCCATTCAATCTATCTTGGACCTTCCTGATAGAGATCAGATGACCGGACAAGTTCTACCTTTAGAAGTCTCAGTTCCTGAATTACCGGTGATTGCAGAAAATATTTGTGTTCCAAATTCTCCATGGAATGATGATTACATTCCAACTTGATTTCTGACAAACGAGGCAGTGTTCTTTAATTTGTTCGCTATGGCTAACCTCAGGTATTTTGGAAAAAAGGACAAGATCATTCTCGAGCGAGCGCAAGTTCTATATTTTCTTGCTGATAATGAGACTATTCTACTTGCACCATTAATTGTGTAATTTAATGATGGTTCACTCCAAGAAAATCTCGCGCCAAAATTCTTCACCTTTTCCTATTATCATCATGGAGTTTTACAAAATGAAGAATATTTTGATTCCTCCAAGAGCATACCATCAGCATATTATAACTGAGTTAGACGTTCGTGCTCTGAATAAGTCAAAATCAGCCCGGTAAAATGCTAGAAAGGCTCGGAGAGTTGCTGATGAGGGTTTTTCACAGGCTCCAGAGATTACTCAGCTATTTCCTCCCAAAGGAAATTTTTCTAGAGCAGATGTTAACCTGTTGTATTCTCTTTTGTTTTAGAATTAGCAGACTATCTTTCAGAACCAAGAGATGATGATGGCTGACCTTAGAGATCTCAAACTTGAGTTATGGCAGATGAGAAGACAATAGTCAGAGAGGTGAGGATGAGGATGACTATTCTGATAGGGATGAGGATGAGGAAGATAAGGAGGCTGAGGAGGATAATAGAGAAGACTGAAGATAATGTTTTTCTGGCATAGTGGTTGAGAAGTGATGCTGACTTTTGTGTTCATTTATCATGCATCATGACATCATACTCTTGTTAACATGGTCATTATTTTTGGATCTTCTTGGTATATGATTTAATGACATGTTTGGATGTTTTGTCTACGTCTCTTTGCTTTGTCAATTTGTTACAAAAAGGGGGAGAACAAATGTGATGTTAAGGGGGAGATAAAGATAAATAATTTTTTTTTGGATATGTACTTAAGGGAGAGTTTTTTTAAAAGAAAAAATATATATTAAACTTCACTGGTAGTTGTTGCTTGATATTGTGCAGGAATTTAGGTCAAGCCATATATCCAAGAAGAGAAGAGAACAGTGATATTCCGTGTTTTTCCTTTAAATAAATTTGTAATTTACTTTTTTGCTTTGGGTAGATTATTCAAATTGTGCTTAGGGTTTTGTCACGAAATTGTCAAAGGGAGAGATTGTGAGATATTATTTTGTATTTGGCAATTATCATAAACAAAACAAATCCAAGTCGAATTGTAATTCAAGTTACTTATAATGCAAGTTATCAAGATTGACGGTGACTATGGAATTGGAAGGTTGGTCAAAGATGCCGTAACTGAGATCATCACAAAAAAGGAAGAATAACATGTTAGGAAGAAATCCAAAAAGGTTAGGCCACATTCTATATTTGGTTAGTTTCAGAACATACCAAAAATAGTGCCTAGAACCTTAGGAATCAAGTCTGGCAGACTTGAACCGGTTCATGCTTCTTGGAACCGGTTCAAGCCATTTAAATTTGGCTTAGAAATCATTCTGCCATACTTGAACTGGTTCCCACTTTCTTGAACCGGTTCAAGTCTTCATCATTAGCCTCGAAATTTATTCTATCATACTTGAACCGGTTCCCACATTCCTGAACCAATTCAAGAGTCCTAACAGCTTATGGAAAGTTCAGTTTCCTGTTTCAGATTTCTTTCTTAGTTGGTCTAGAATTGTTCCAAGTCCTATGCACGAATTTTATCATATTTTCAAAAGGACTAGGACATTCTAAAACTTTATATAAACCTTGTCATACACATAGGTTTATTTACGGCTTTTGCATTATCAGTTTATTATTCTTAAAAGCCTTAGGAAGATTTTTGTCTCAGAAATTCTTAAAGAATTTTCTATTTGTCTTTCGAGAACACATACACATAAACACATAGTGGGTTTAGTGTTGTTTTGTTCAAAATCCTGATCGTGATCATACAATTGCATCTACATCAATCAAACAAAAGCAGATATACTTCTACATCAAATCCAGAAGTTGAAGAATAGAAGTAAAAGCAATCACACTTTGAAAGGGTTGGAGCATTCGAGGAGTGTTGTCTGATATACCTGCTACTCTTCTACAAAGATCAAGCATAAGCCCGAGGTCAGGTTACTGTTGGACGGGCAGTCGCAAAGCCAGAGAATTGTCAACAATTGGTGTTTGGTAGAACGATAGGGTGTGAGCCAGAGTCAAAGTTCAGTATACTTTGTTTCAAGCGTAGTGGATCGATATACTTTGGACTGCATGGTCCACGAGGTTTTTCCTACACCAACAGTTGACGTATTTTATCAACTGGGGTTTCCTCGTTAAAAATCCTGGTGTCATCTCTAACTTTACTTTGCTTTATTTTATATTGCATAATATTAATTTATTAATTGCTAAAATAAAGAAAGTTAGAAATACACAAAATCTGTTTTTAAAATAATCAAAACTTTCTAAATATTTTGCTGCGTACAACTCACATGATTTTGTGATGATTTTTAAAGGCTTGCATCCAGTTAATTACCTCAATATCACTCCTTATTTTCATTTCTTGACCAACTCATAAGTAGAATTTTCTTCCCATAGTATATAATTTTTACTTTTGCTGTGTTTAACTTTTTCGAATTTCAAATTTAATGGACCAATTCGGTACTCCAAACATGATTTTTTTATTTTGCCAATGCAAGTTTCTAGTTGCCGTTCTTATTAATGTACCATTTTCTCCGAGAGTGATCACGTCATTTTCCTATGGTGGATATACAACTTTAACTTCCGGGAAAAAAAAAAAAACATTAGTGAAAAGGCTAAATGCTGTGAGCCAAAATTAAATTCAGCACTTTCTAATACAAAATGATATTTCGCAATTGTATCTTCTTTATTTCTAAAAGAAAATTTTTATTTCAACTGGTAAAGTATGGATCACCAGTAAATAATCCAACAAATCCAATAAATTAAAAGAATACAAACCAAAACCAAAAGAATACATAAAGTACTCGACACAAATCAATTCAAAAAATTAAACCATGACAATCAAAAGAATGCCAAAAGCTGCAGCCACCATCCCCCCATAATATCTAGATGCAGCCATTCCTTGTGTGGCTGCAGCAGAGATTGGACCAGCAGGCATAGGTGCTGGAGCCATTGATTCATGAACAGTTATGGCAAGCTTCTGGTTCCCCATCGCACAGTGCTGCCCGACACCACAAATGTACCATTTGTTTCCGGGAGTCTTAAGAGTGATGACATCATTTCCGGTGGTCAGAGCCTCATTGGCCGGTGGTTTAATGCATTGGTCAAATCCAGTTCCGTTCACCTTGAACACATTGTGGGATCCCTCCGTGTACTTGAAAACTACAATATTAAGAAAGTTGATTTGTATCATTAGTAAGAATTTTCAAAATGATAGTTGTATACTTATTATGCAAAAAAATATATATATCATACTATATTACAATGTAACATAAAAAATAAGAGAGATAGCTAGTGTACTTACCTAGTGTGTCTCCGACCATAAACATTTTTCCCTTGGCCCAAGCTTCATAATCGAAGTTAATCTTCCAACCATCATTGTCTCCAACAATGAATTCCGTGGCAAAAATTGGAGCGATGAGTGCGAGGAGAGTAATGGTGATGATCTGAGTAGAGGCCATTGCAACTTTTAGAGTTATTAGTGGCTCTAATTTATTTATATTCTCAGATCGAGTTAATTATGGAAGTTATTGCAACAAAGGGGTCTATTTATAGAGTTCAAATAGCCAGGAGAAAGCTAGCATTGGACCGGCCATCGACGGCCCGAATAGGCAATAACACAAGTAGATTCCAATGTTGTATGTGACAACAACATATGCAACTCTCCAAAATTTAAGGTTATTGTATATATTCGTACACACAGCCATGGTGGTATTGTAACTATTGTTTAACACGTGTAGCTACTGATATGGGGGAGCGGCAGGTATATGCAGAAAAATAATAATTTTTGCCCAAAATTAGTCAATCCAAAAAATGGGATATTGGAGACTGACTATTATATATTTGATTCAATAGAACGCGTTTGAGAAAGAATCCGTTGGATCAATTTCACACCCAACGATTTAGATTTTGGAACCGCGCAATTCTTTTGTAGGCATAATGCCACAAACAAGAACATTAACGGTTACTTTTGTTGGGCTTGGGCCATGAGTCATGACACACACTTTGGTCTACTAATTTGGGCTAGGATTTATTCCTTGTCATAGGCAAAACTTGCTTCTTTTGGGCTTTGGGCTTGTCTCCCAGTAAAGGTGGGCGTCCCTTTTTGTGTTATTTCTAGAGTTCATCCAATCAATCACTAAATGTGTTATGTTTTTGTGTGGTGAGTTATGTTGCTATCTTTTGTGATAATACTAATACAATTAATATTTTTAAAGAATTCAATTTTACATTTTAGGACTAAGCACATTAACATCGACATCACTTTCTTAGGGAACTTATTGAATAAAATGCCGTGTCTTTGGAAAAAGTGCATAATGATTAGAATTTGGCTGACATTTTCATTAAGCCATTAAATGCTCCTAAGTTTTCTCATCTTAGAAAATCTATAGGCGTCTGTTGTCTTGATTAGATGCATTGCAAGAACATAATCTACAAAGGATTTGCATGCGTATCTTGAGTGTCTAGATTATGTTTTTTTGGAAGGTAAGCAAACCATATTGATTGATTATGTTGAACACAAAGAATTTTATGACACATGGATTATCTGTGTAAAACATGTTATGGCTATGAATTGATAAAATTGGTTTTGCTTATTTGTTTCGTATAGCAAATGGATCATTAATAGTACATTTACTTATTTTTGATGTCATCGTTTTGGTTAAAGATGATGTTAACATGATTGATCATTGTTTTGGAATTTAAACTTACTTTATGTGTTTTAGACCAAAAGAGTGAAAAGAAAAGAAAATTGAAAAACAGTTTGAAATGAAAAGTTTATTTAAAAAAAAAAAAATTGCTATTTCGAAAAAGTGAGAGGTGGAAAATGCTACCTTTGGAAATTTTTCGAATCTACCTTGACTCGAAACAAATGGGAATTAGGGAAAGAGCTGGCTGCCCATAAGCGTGAAAGCCGCCAATGTGCAAAAAGAAAAATGGAGCACAAAGAGAAAAAAAATAGTCTTTTGCACATGTTGATTGTTTGATTTTTAAGGATATGTGATATTATTGATTTATTGTCTGAAATCTAAACAGTTGACAGATCAAATTTTTTTTTTTTTTTTTTTTGGAATTTGGTGGTGATTTTACTACACTTACTAAGTTTGTGGAACTTTTTTGAATTGATCTTGGTTATATTTGTTGATACATATAGTCTTGTGGAGTCTATTTTTCTCAATGGATTCAATTTATAAGTTTTTTATGGTTGGTCGCTTCCTTCTTCTAGGATATTTCTACCTTGAGACCCTTATTAATTTGTGACAAAAGGGGAGAGAGAGTTGAGATTGATATCATAAGGAGAAAGATACTTGCATTAAGGGGGAGAACTTTTTGCATTAAGGGGGAGAACAATTAATCATTGCATTTACATTGTGTTTACTCCATTATTTTTGGCCCAATGGAAATGCGACATGTGGCGAGTTCTAATGGAACTTACCACGCTAGATCGTAACTCTAATAAATTTTATTGGAAACTATGTAATATTACGTAGTAATTGAAAGTAGACCAATACAATCCTACTATATAGGGTTTTTCTATTTTAAAAGGAAAGAGGTGAGTCCTATTAGGACTTGCCATCTTTAAAACAATAGCCCACTTTTTCCTATTTGGAATATAGGGATTGCATGGAAACACTATCCTACATGCAACTTCATATAATTATCCAAGACAAGGTTCATCCAATCAATCGATTTTCAACACCTGGTGAGTTCTATGGGACTTACCACGGCATATCAATTCTTAAGGGATTGTTATCTTACTAAATATGGTAAGACCAAAGTTGGTTTAGCAAAAAAAGAAGGAGAACGTGGGGTTGGTTGATCGGTTGAGTCGATTACAATTATAAATCAACCTTCGCAATAGCACAAATCATTGTAAAATAGGGCTATTGGTCGGGTAAGTCGAACCACTGGAACTACGCTAATCTATGGCAACCTAAGTGTCTAGAGTATTTTTAGAATGATATGGGGTGTTCATAGAGGATTTGTTGATTGTCACTTAAGCTATGAAAGTAAAGTGCATAAAGTAAAAGTTTGCAAGAGTTTAAGGGAAATGAAATACAAGTAAAGAGGACTAGGGAAGTGAATCCGGCTCCATCCCTATACATGAATGAAAGACTATCAAGCCCTAGATAAAATGATGAAGCACATAAAGGTAAGAAATAAGCATAAATCATCAAAGGTTTCACCTAAGTAATGATCTATCAAAGTCCTTATCAACATGCCATTAAACCATTTCATAACCTTGTCTCCATTCTCACCATAAAAACTCAAGCAATATGATTAATATAAGACATCATCTAAAACAAGATAATCAACTTAAAGAAATCATCCATACATATATCAACATTCATTACAAGAAATGAAGTGCTCTTGGTTATGAAAAGACCATAGAACATACATTTTAATCCCCAAAATATAGCCTAAATTAGAACATGCTTACAAGGGAGGGGCCTCATCACCTCCCTAGATAGAGGTTTAGTTACCCATGGGAGCCTTAGAAGAAGGAAGAAGCTTGGTTGCAACCTCCATTTTCGAGCTCCCTTTCTTTGGCTTCAAGAACTCTATCTTCTCCTCCTCTTTCTCTCTCTACCAATCTTGCAAGATGGGATATCCAGTTGTTATGTGTGGTTCTCCTCCTTTATAGACATCCTTTCCCACCAAACAAGGCTTAACTCCCACCAAAAGACATCTCCAACCAACCCATAAAGATGGAAATCAGAAATGAGGGAATCAAGGTGCAAGTGGGCTGAAGTGATGGATCCCGGAGAGCATTCTGCCCAAAGTTCGAGCGCTCTAAATAAGCACTTCGAGTGCTCGAAGTTCCATCAGCTTGCTCAGCTACATTCTGCCCAAAGTTCGAGCGCTCGAAGTAAGCACTTCGAGCGCTCGAAGTCAACTTACTCAGCTTTGAGATACTTTGGTAAAATGGCCATAACTTTCTGCTCCGAACTCCAAATGATGAACCGTTTGAAGATTTGGAAAGCTAATTCAAAGCTCTAAGTACGCCATGTTTTAATGGAAGTCCAGTTCTCAAGTTTGGTGGGTCTAAAATGAAGAGCAAAGTCAAACTTCACTGCTGCCAAGCTGTTCTGCGCACCTTTGGTAAAAATGATATAACTCTTTGCTCCGAACTCCAAATAAGGAAAACTTTATGTCTATGGAATGCTGACTCATAGACCTTCATATTTCATGTTTTACTAAAGACCAAATTCGCACATACAAAGGGTCAGAATTGGAGGCCAAAGTCTGATGGAAAATGAACCGGCGCCCGCACTGTTACAGCCTTGCACCAATTTGCTACTTGCAACCTGAAATGATTTGGCTCAGCCCGAAGACGCAGCAATTCTTCCTAGAACTTTTTGTATAGAGCGTCATGAGTCCCATGGATCATTAATTTTGGCCAAAATGAAGGTCCCTGGCAACGGCGTGCTTTAATTCTTTAAGAACTCGTCAAAGCATCTCTTTTAACTCTCTTTGGGGAACCAACCTGAAAATAAACAAAAGCATGCAAATGAAGCTAATCTATATAAAATAATCAAATAATAGACTTAACTAATGCAACTAAGGGCACTTGAATATGTAATATTCGGCGCTTATCATTGATTTTTTCCTTATTTCTAGGAGACTTCATTTAGCTAAGTCAAACAATGTTGCTAAAAGGGAGGAGACGTGGGAGTTTAAATTCTATAAATAAATAAATAAATAAATAAATATATATATATATATATATATATATATATATATATATATATATATTTGTCAGATTTGGCCTACGATGAAGTAACTACTGTGAGGAAGGAATCCATGGCGCCATGGGTTCTAAATGAGGCAAAGATGAAGGGAAGTTGCTAAAATTAAGGAGACGTGATTGTACAATATTGAGGATGATATATCTATTCATGGAAGGAACAACCCATGATAAAAGTTAAAATTGAGGAAGTGTGCTATAACTACAACCCACGATCTAGAGTCAGTGGAAGAATGAAAAGTGACCACGACGCCATGGAAAGTTCAGCTAAATTCAAGGAGATGCGGTCTACAGAAGAGATGGATGTGGGTTGGTCTTTATTCATAAATATATATATATATATATATATATATATATATATATATATATATTTGTACATATATATTTATGTCAGATATAGTTCATGATGAAGAAGACGCTGAGATTCAGGAGGCCATGATGTTATGGAAGATTCAAGAAGGAAAGTTTCAGTTAAAAAAGGGAACGTGGGTCTGTAATAATTCTTATATACACTCATGTATATATGGCATTAGAGGAAGAAAAGGAGTCTAGAGAAGAAGAACATGGAGACGTGAGACACATGTCAACTTATGGAGAAACCAAGTGGAAAATATTTTGCAAGAACTACCCATAAACTGAGATCGTGGAGAGCATGGCTGAAGTCTGCAACAGGGAGGGGAGAAGATGGAAGGAAGAAGTTACAACTGCCAAGAGATCATGGGACACTTGGTAGTCCAGAATCTGGCCACGTGGAAATCGCTGGAGTTGCCACATCAAGCTGCTGCATGCATGGAAAATTCTATAAATAGAGCACTTAGAGCTAGTTTGCAAACCCTATTCAACACACACAACCAACAGTCCTTCAATTTCTTTACATTCATGTATATTTTCATTCATGTAATGCACTTTCAATATGTTTAATTCAAGTCTTGCACTTATTATTCCTACTTTCCAGCACATTACTTTCCAGTCCTGCACTTTCAATACCGTTTTCCTTTCCACTAGCCATAGTTCAGTCCGAAAGTCCTTTTCCAAGGCAAAAAGAACCTTTGAAGGTTATAATTCCAGTCCTTCATTCAATCACCTAATCCCTACAATCTCCTACTGGATAGTTGTTTGGATATCCACTTTAAAACGACAGCAGTTCCTGGCACGCCCGACATTCACCCTCCTTTCCGCACTTGGAAAGGACCCCGATTTTTAGGAGCCGAACACATTGCATTGATATTCATGCATTATACCGGTTCAACCTTTGGCTATCAGTTCAGAATTAACTACCGGTTCAACCTTTGGCTATCAATTCAGAATTAACTACCGGTTCAAAATTGATTGTGTGAGACCAACAGAACTATGGCCTAGCGGTACAAGGCCCCTACTTTCCAAAGGGAGGTCAGGGGTTCGAACCTCAGTGGAGGTAGTATGTGTGAGTACCAACTAAGAAAAAAAATAAGAAGGTATGTGAGTGAGTGAGAGCACTTAGGAAATTTTAGAAGGTTGAAGGAACATCAGAGTTAACATCTGTTCATTAGGAACCGGTAAGGACTTCATGGTACCGGTAGCCAAATGTTGTTAAAAAGGATTTCAACACTATCAATTTTGAACCGGTAGTTAATTATGAACCGGTAGCCAAAGGTTGAACCGGTGTCCTTCTTGAACCGGTAGCCAAATCTTGTATTGGTTCAAGAGCCTGAGTCAGTTTTTGGTAACTTGATTTCCTGTTTCGTTTTGATTCCTTTTTGGTCCAGATTTTCTTCTAAATCCTATGCACGAATCCTACTTATTTTGCAAGTGTGTTTAGGTCTTCCAAACTTCTATATAATACCTCTTTCATTCATTATTGAGGTATGGCTTTAAAGAACATCAATTAAATATTTTGAGAAAGCCTTTAGAGAAATTCTTCAGAAAATTAAACCTGATTATTCTGATTATATTTTTGAGAGCACACACATATATTCATGAGTGATTTAGTGGTGTTGTTCTACATCTCATCGGAATTGGAGCTTGATTGAAGATTCTGAGATTCTGACAGAGCAAATCTAATTCTAAATCTATTTCAAATATTGAAGAACAGAAATAAAAACAATCACACTTTGAAAGTAGACATAGCATATAATTTTTACTTTTGCTTTGTTTAACTTTCTCAAATTTCAAATTTAATGGACGGATTCATACTCCAAACATAACTTTTTTTATTTTTGCCAATGCAAGCTTCTAGTTGCCAACCTCATTAATGTTCCATTTTCTCCCAGCGTGATCGCGTCATTTTCCTGTGGTAGATATACAACTTTAACTTCCCAAAAAAAAAAAGCATTAGTGAACAGGCTAAATGCTATGAGCCAAAATTAAACTGGTACAAGTATGGATCACAAGTAAATTAAATAATCCAACAAATCCAATAAATTAAAAGAATTCAACCCAATAAATCAAACCAAAACCAAAAGAATTCATAAAGTACTCGACACACATCAAATTCAAAATATTAAACCGTGACAATCAAAAGAATGCCAAAAGCTGCAGCCGCCATCCACCCATAATATCTAGATGCAGCCATTCCTTGTGTGGCTGCAGCAGAGATTGGACCAGCAGGCATAGGTGCTGGAGCCACTGATTCATGCACAGTTATGGCAAGCTTCTGATTCCCCATCGCACAGTGCTGCCCGACACCACAAATGTACCATTTGTTTCCTGGAGTCTTAAGAGTGATGACATCATTTCCGGTGGTCAGAGCCTCGTTGGCCGATGGTTTAATGCATTGGTCAAATCCAGTTCCGTTCACCTTGAACACGTTGTGGGATCCCTCCGTGTACTTGAAAACTACAATATTAAGAAAGTTGATTTGTACCATTAGTTATAATTTTCAAAATAGTAGTTGTATACTTATTATGCAAAAATAAAAAATAAAACAAAAATTAATAGTACCATACTATATTACAATGTAACATGAAAAATAAGAGAGAGCGCTAGTATACTTACCTAGTGTGTCTCCCACCATAAACATTTTCCCCATGGCCCAAGCTTCGTAATCGAAGTTAATCTTCCAACCATCATTGTCTCCGACAATGAATTCTGTGGCAAAAATTGGAGTGATGAGTGCGAGGATGGTGATGATGATGATCTGAGTAGAGGCCATTGCAACTTTTAGAATTGTTAGTAGCTCTAATTTATCGATCAGTTTATATTCTCAGATTGAGTTGCTTATGGAAGTGATTGCCACAAAGGGGTGTATTTATAGAATTCAAATACTAGCAAGGAAAAAGCATTGGACCGGCCATGGACGGTCCCAATAACACAAGTAGATTCGAATGTTGTATGTGACAACAACATATGCAACACTCCAAAACTTAAGGTTATTGTATACGTTCAAACACAGAAATGAGGGAGCGGCAGGCATTTGTAGGAAAATTACTGTATAATTTTTGCCGAAAATTAGTCAATCCAAAAAAATGGGATATTGGAGACTGACTATTATTATATATTTGATTCAAAAGAACGCGTTTGAGAAAGAGTCGTTGTTGGATCAATTTCACAACCAATGATTTAGATTTTAGAACCGCCCAATTCTTTGTAGGCCCATAACTGCTACGAACAAGACAAGATACAGATAACATAACAGTTACTTTTGTTGGGCTTAGGCCATGAGTCATGACACACACTTCGGTCTACTAATTTGGGCTGGGATTTATTCCTTGTCACGGGCTAGATTATTTTATGCTTCATTTGGGCTTTGGGCTTGTCTCCCAATAAATCCTTGGGCGTTCCTTTTGGTGTTATGTGTTCTAGAGAGTTCATACATATATACAATCAATCACTGGGTCATAGGGGTTTTTTTTTTGTTTTTTTTGTGTGGTGAATTATATTGATTTTTCTTAGGGCACAAGATAACTTTGAGTGTAAAAAGTTAATAATGTCCTCATTTTTATATAAGGGAAAAGTAAAATTATTATTTTATAATTTTTTTTTTTTTTTTTTTTTTTTGTAAGTTGATCACAGTGCACATGCGCTAATTCTTAGGAAATGTTAAAATTATTATTTTATAAAATTTGGTCAACATGTCTATTATAATGAAAACGTTTGGGATGTGATTGAGTTCGCTCAATTTTAAAGAAAGCCAAAGTAATAACGTTCAACAATTTATCCATATATAATTTACCCAAATCTCAAAAGAGATTAGTGTAATTTATCTTCTTCTTTTTTCCGAATGAAAGTGCCAAAAATAAGAGCATGAATTAGATCATATGATTCTGATTTTAGAATGAAATTTCTAATCTGCTTAGGTTCTAAAAACCAGATTTTCTGCAATTCTTTTTTTTTGGAGGAAAAAACAAAACAAAACAAAAACAAGATTTATTTTCTAAATTGCTGAGATACAGAAATTCCTTTTCTTGAGCCAAACACTAAAAAAATAAATACATTCAAACAAATAAAGCCTTACAAATATAAAGCTTTAGATTCAAAAGCAGAAAATTACAAATCAAAAGCAATTTTTGATCATACTAGTAAATGTTTTTGAGAAGCACATATCGCATTCCTCCCGTGCAGTGCTCATGCCTTTGTTGACTCAAAATCGAACAAAAAAAAAAAAACTGTTGCGCATACCCCCACATCACAACCACACCCACGCTGCATCGACAAATTCATGTGTTTGCACTTTGCAGATCAAAGGGGTATTGAATTTAATCTCATATTGTCTGAAAAATTATCAAATTGTATGCTCAATAATACCACTTCCGACTTTGTCACTACTTTGAAGCCCGTGAAATGCTGAAAACTATCTTTTCACTGTAAAGCAAAATCTCTTATAGTCTTCCAAGTTGGATTCAGAACCTATGACTTAATGGACTTGTAAACCACAAATTATTTGATCTCCTCTCACGAGAACCCCCTCTACAAACCCAACTTTTTTTCAGAAAATAAAAAATAAAAAAGTAGAGGTTCACATTTCTTCTACTAGACGAACAACCGCCACCTAAAGAAGCTCCTCTTTTTTACTCTTCCCGTGACAGTCAGTAACATTTACACACACTACATATGTGTACACAATATGAAATATCAGAGAAAGCATATAAAAGTCCTAAAGACAAGCATTGTACCAAATATTAAACTTGGAGTTCCTTCTGCTAAAACAAAATGGACAATAGATCAACTCCACCAAGTTCTCTCGAGACTCATTTCATAGATATCCATGAAGTCCTTCCCGAAGAAGAAGAAGAAGAGGAGGAGGAAAGAGTGACAAAAATGGCCGATAAAGCAGAGAAGCGTTTAAACAGGCCTATCAAATTGAAAGACATGAAGAGAAACCATAGAAGTTTCAGCAGGCAAGTGTCGCTGGAGACGGGGTTTTCAGTGCTTAACAGGGAGTCTAAAGCCAAAGATGAAAGGAGGGTGCTTACGAGAAGTGGGAACAGTTTTGGAGGCTTTGGTTCGGCTCATAGAGTTGGTGTAGAAGGACGGAAAGGAGACTTCAGTATCTTTAGGACTAAATCAGGCATTGTGAAGCAGAACCCAAACTTGCCTTTGAGAAAAGAAGGTGAAATGGATTTTCATCAGAAAAATGATAGCTCTGGTGGGGTTGATGAGTCTGATGTCAATAAAACTGTTCCTGCTGGAAGATACTTTGCTGCTCTTAGAGGACCTGAATTAGACCAAGTCAAGGTAATTCACTAATACAAATTCATAGCTTCTTTTGTATACTTTAACATCTTTCTTAATCTTTCTGCCATGTATTGTCGATCATGGCCATTTTTTTAATCTCTTTAATTGATCCCAAATGAAGTGAACACCATAAAAACCAATTCCCTAGTGTAGAACTGCATGTATATAAATTGGTTCTAATGTTCTCTCATTGATCATATAACATATATATATATATTAACATTAAGAAATAGCAGCAGAAGTTTGTAAATCATATATGGGTACTTAATCTGATTTAATTAGGTCTAGTTGACACCAATACCATGTGGATAATTTACCTCTTAATTTATATTTGGCTCTAAACATTTACAGGACTATGAGGATATTCTCCTCCCAAAAGATGAGAAGTGGCCCTTCCTTCTTCGATTCCCAATCGGTTGCTTTGGTATATGCCTTGGCCTTAGCAGCCAAGCCATCCTGTGGCGTGCCCTCGCCACAAGTCCAGCCACCAAATTCCTCCACATTACACCTTTCATCAACCTTGCCCTCTGGCTATTAGCCCTGACAGTTCTCCTCTTTGTCTCCATCACCTACACACTCAAATGCATATTCTATTTTGAAGCTGTCAAAAGAGAGTACTTTCATCCTGTCCGTGTCAACTTCTTCTTCGCCCCATGGGTTGTCTGCATGTTCTTAGCCATAGGTGCACCATCTATGATAGCACCAGAACCCCTTCACCCTGCCATTTGGTGCATCTTCATGGCGCCAATTTTCTTTCTTGAGCTTAAAATCTATGGCCAGTGGCTCTCAGGAGGGAAGAGACGTCTCAGTAAGGTAGCCAATCCATCTTCTCATCTTTCAGTAGTTGGAAACTTCGTGGGGGCGATTTTGGCTGCAAAGGTTGGGTGGAAGGAGCCTGCTAAGTTCTTTTGGGCAGTAGGCTTTGCGCATTATCTGGTGGTGTTTGTGACATTATATCAGAGATTGCCAACAAGTGAAGCATTGCCTAAAGAGTTGCACCCTGTGTATTCTATGTTCATTGCAGCTCCATCAGCTGCAAGCATTGCATGGGAAACTATCTATGGCGAGTTTGATGGCTTGTCAAGGACTTGCTACTTCATTGCATTGTTCCTCTATGTTTCGCTGGTCGTTCGTATCAACTTCTTCAGGGGTTTCAGGTAAGCAATGCCACTATATAGAATTGTCAAAGAGAAGAGCTTTTCACTTGGTTTTTGTACCATTTAGTTGAACTCACTCAGCCTAGTGTGACCAACATCTGAAAAGCTACAAATAACAAAGCCTTTTCTCCATCAATTGAACAAACATGGCCAAAAAAACTTCCAAGTTGGAGGTCATATAAAAAAGCCAGCTTCTAAAGACTTTGAGGATTGTATTACAAGAGTCTAAAAATATACTATAATTATTATCAGAGCTGGTGGTCTTACAAACTATTCTTGCTTTCAAAATTTTCCTAAAATTCTGAATATATACCCTGGTTAACTATCACTCACCATGTTTTGCAGGTTTTCAGTTGCATGGTGGTCTTACACCTTCCCTATGACAACTGCATCATTGGCGACCATCAAGTACGCGGAGCAAGTGCCTTGTGTTATGAGCAAGGGCCTTGCACTAACTCTTTCATTCATGTCATCAACAATGGTGTCTGTGTTGTTCGTCTCTACACTTCTACATGCCTTTGTTTGGCATACCTTGTTCCCCAATGATCTGGCCATCGCCATTGCCCTAACAAAGAGAAAACATGGCAAGGAGAAGAAGCCCTTCAAAAGAACCTACAATATAAGGCAATGGACGAAGCAATCTCCTCTCTCCTTTGTTTCATCCATAACCAAACCTACTTCTTCAGCAAAGGAGGAGTCTCATGGAGAGAAAGAAGTCGGGTACTGAACTACCATTAGAAAATGAAATTGATGAATGTCATAGGCTTATAGCCAATACTTTTGTGCTTTCCAACCCGTGGATGTAATTTTTGACCATGAGAAGTCAAATACCTAGTTCATAGATCCCATTGCAAGGAACTATGCATAAAGTCACTTCTATAGTGAGATACATTTGTATTATGTTCTCTTAAAATAGGTCCCAAAACAGTTACTAGGTAACAAACAAAAGACCTTCAAATACCGAACTCATAATTGGTGCAGCCTCATTTCTAGGGTTCTAGGGGTGAGAAGAGCATATATTCACTACCAAACCAGTATAGGAACTGTAAAAGTTCAACAAACTCTTAAGGAACTAGGATCTTTCATCCATTCACATCACAGTGGTGAGAAGCGACACCGTGAAAGAGAACAAAAGACAGTGAGAAACAACGCTTCACATAATTACCATTCAAGAATTTATCCAAAATGAACATGTTAAACAAACTTTTCAGATAACTTCTGTTTATTAGGCATTATCTCTTTCGAAATTTTTTAGCATTAGTGAGACCTCCAAAGAACATAGAGCGATTTGTTTCCTCAAAACAAAAGTTACATGCGCTCTTCATGCTATAGAATGTTGGGAAGAAAAGCCTATGATGAGAAAGAGGCCGTAAGAGCTGTACAACAATAGCCTTTTAACATATATTGACAATTTGACTGAGGCTACAGTGTATAAACAGATTAACATAATTTTTTGTGAGGTCAGTTTTTGGAGTTAAAAGAATGATTTTTAAGCTAATATGTGGATTTTGTGATCTTGTATACAGGCAAAGGAGCTTGACATTTGTTATGTACTTATCACTACTCAGTATTATCTGTCAAATCTTCCATCAATTGGCAGAAATTTGAAGCCTGAAGTCAATGGCAAACACCACTTTTAGAAATTTTGCCCCCCTTTACTCTAGCGAATGCCCAAACTCCTGTTCCAATTTCAAGGTCTAGCTTATAAATACAGAATATCAAAACCAAATAAAGAAAGCACCAATTTGTACATTCATTTTCATGTACCTGTTCATGCCAGAAAAGGGACCACCTTCAGCCCCATCATTCTCAAACTGAATTTGCTTTCCCCCAAACGAAAGTGGTTTTTCTTTCACCAAATGTTTTATCTGCAGAATGAACTTGTGATTTGTGGTTGCAAGCATAACATGGGACAAGAAAGATAGCTTATCACATAAAAATGCCTTCTCACAGAACACAATATATTTTAATAAATAATACATAAAGAAATATTCATTGGAGATGCCATACTCACCTCATGTTCTTGTTGGAAAGAACCCAATCTATTCTCTTTTGAGCCCTTGTACCAAAAGACAAATAACTCAATAAAATATTAGAAAATTTGAATCAAAATCAATGAGACACTTGTTCGTTACAAGAATAAGAAAGAGTAGAACCTTTGTAGGTATACAAGTAGGCCGAAGCGATTTTAGCTGAGATCCACCATTCGGTTGGTGTTCAGTCAAAGAAAGCTAGCAATTGTCCGACAGAGAAAGATATCACGGAAAAAGCATTTGTTTACAATTATGACAAAGATGAATCCTGGAAAATAATTCTAGAATCCAATAGTAGAGTCACAAGAAACTGTGAAATACCATACTTATATCGAGAATTATTGTTCAAAATTGTTAACTAAGAAAATTAGAAGGAAAAAAAAGCGCACACACAAATTTTTTTTTTCTCTGTTTCTGTACGCGATCACACTGGAACTCAACATTTATATATTCAGGTTTACCTTGTTAAAAAGATCTATAGGTGGATTATGCGGAACCCTTTTCTCTGTATGAAAATTGAATTCCTGTAGAAGTTCATGATATGAGAACAAAAAACATAGTGGCATTTTGAAGCATCAATCTTAAATATATAGCAGGCAGAAAATCATCCAATGACTACCATAGGTACTGTGATTTCTCTCTTGCTATTCCGGAAAACCCCAATATCTCCTTTACTTAAAAATATCTGCATTTAAATGCAAAGAGGTCTCACTTTTGGAATTGTTCATATTTATTATGTGTGTGTATCAAATAATACAGTTACACCTATAATATTTTACCTTCCTGTTGAGAGGACGAGCTTTAAAGTAGTGAACTGGTTCACTTTTCTGCTGCTTGGGAGCATCCACAAAATTTGATCTGACCAAAAGAGAAGTATGTTCCAAGTAAAACACAACCGTCCCGATTAAATACAATGTTGAAGGGTAATAAGAGCAAATTGGGTGTGTGAGTTCCTTGCCATTTTTATAATTAAAAAATAAATGAATAAATAAATAAAAAATAAAGGGTGATTGAGCATTTTTTACTTCATACACATGGATTTCAGTTATATACTGAGCTACAATTATTAATTGATAAGAACAAATACTAACTACTTTGATGACAACAAACATTAAAATTTCAGATTAGAAAAAGAAAAATAAATAAATAAATTTGAATAGATGAAATTCGCTCCGAACAAAGAGTAGTCAAGTGATCCTTTAAATGAATTGCCAACATGTTTTCTGTTTCTAAAAGGTTAAAACATGGATTATCTATAGAACTTGGGGCACACAAGGTTCTGAAATAAAAAGAAAATAAAGGTCTAAAAAAAAGAGACATAGTATCATAGAAAATCATTCCTGTAATCATACTTTTTTTTTTTTGCCCACCAAATCTTGTTCTTTGACTTTTCAAAGTGGACAACTATTACGAGACCATAGTTATTAAAGGCCCAAGGCGCTAGAGGTCCCTTGGAGCCTAGGCGCGAGGCGCACGGCGAGGCGCGCGCCTGAGTGAAGTGAGGCGCACAATTGAACTGACGTGGCTTCATCGTTCATCTCTGCTACTAGGGCTTCGTCTTCGTCTCACAATCTCATTCTATCGTTGTTCGGTTAACACTTGGACTCTTGGGGTTTCTTATTTTTCTATTCTTTTGAACAAAAGTTTCTTATATCGTATGATTGAGTTTTCTTTTTTTTGCTTATGAAGTTGCCAAAAGTACCATTTTTGGCTTAAGAAATAGAGCAATAGTATTTTTTTAAACAAATATCAGTGAGGCGCGCTTAGGCACACCTCACAAACAGGACGAGGGCTTCGTCTTCGTCTCACAATCTCATTCTATCGTTGTTCGTTTAACACTTGGACTCTTGGGGTTTCTTATTTTTCTATTCTTTTGAACAAAAGTTTCTTATATCGTATGATTGAGTTTTCTTTTTTTCGCTTATGAAGTTGCCAAAAGTACCATTTTTGGCTTAAGAAATAGAGCAATAGTATTTTTTTAAACAAATATCAGTGAGGCGCGCTTAGGCGCACCTCACAAACAGGACGAGGCGCAACCGAGACGCGCGCCTAGTAAACATCAGTGAGCCTGAGATGACAACAGGCGCAAAATCTGAGCCTCGAGCCTAGGCGTGAGCCTAGGCGCGCCTTTAACAACACTGTACGGGACACCCAAGAAACGAAAGATAGACCATAAATAGGGAAGGGGGGATACCTTCTGCATCCTCCATTTCCACTTTCTGCAATTGGATTAGCGCTAGGTTTGTGAAACACCTGCAACTACAGATCTTCAGTACCCAGAAGGTTAAGGAGTCAGATAAACAGATGAGAACACAAATCTATAAATTCAAGAGTAACCTTATCAGAATTACTGGAATAAATTGACGATGAAGAAATTGCAGAAGTGTGTTGCATAGCCCTCTCTGATGTTTTCAGGTGAAATACCTGAGAACCAATGAGATGAATAAAAAATCTTAGCTGCAAAAAGTATGCAAAAAGATTATCTGCAGAAGTCACTGCTGGTCATGACAAGAGAAAATGATTCAACTACAAGGATAAATAGGAGAAGAGTTTGAGCATGCACTTGAGTTTCAGGCAACCGCATGGTGCTTCTTTTAGAGGGTACCAGTGAAGGAGCCTCAAGAATCTGCAAGTATACCATGTGAAAGTAATATTACAAAAGACAGTGGAGGAACTTTTGAATATAAATGTTATTTGTAAAGCATAACTACGAACTTTTCTATTCAATGGAAGCGCTTTGAATCTACAAGCAGTTGATGTTGATGTTACATGTTCAGCTTCTGTACTATTTTTTGGCCTGAAATTTAAACATCAAATGTGCATCCTGAGAACTATTATCTTCTGCTCAAGGATATGATAGAACATGAACAGTAATTTAAGTAAACTTAACCTTCTCCTTTGCGCCCTATGTGCTGTTTCAAGGTCAGGCTCTCTAGGAATAGTAAGCTTCACCTTAGGATGCAAAGAATTTCCATCAACAGTTCCATCCTGCAAGATCATCCAAAATTATTTTGAGATCTCCAATGGAACATTAAAAACGTCCCCATGGAATAGATTGTCGTGCAGTGACATCCTCTTCCCTCGCCGCCTTCTCTCAATCTCACTCCAATAGTATAAAGGACGACATCCAAAATACATTGAAAATATTGTCTATCAGTAAAATTCATTTGGCAACTCCATGCATCAATCATTCCGAAATGAACAAATGCATACAAAGTTACTATTAACGTACAGCCTGTGAGCCCTCAGGATGAGGCATCACTTTATGATTGCCTAGATAAACCAGGAAACATCAAACTTGAATCTTAATGAAAAATGTGAACCTGAACTATGCACATTAGTGCTGCAACTATTTTGTGAAAAGAAAGTACAAAATATTTACCATCCAGTCCCCAACAAAACTGCCCGTAATTTTGTATCTACTCCAACTTTTTGAATGGCAATTATGCCATGCAAGATTGACAAAACTGCCTTAATCCTTTTACAATCAATATGACATTCACGAAAACAGACTACAGTTATCTGTCACTTCTCCATATACAAGAATAATTTAAATTTTCCATCAATGATCTTTTGAAATCTTAAAAACGAGTAATAGAGAGTAGAGACCCTAAAATTCCATAAAAATAATGATACTATAAATAACAACTTCAAAGATGGAGCTGCAATCATCTAAATTTGAAAGCTAGACAACATGAAAACTTTATAAGAAAAAAAAAAACATTCAAAATTAAATTATGAAGTATCACACAACTATCATGAATTCAAAAGGCAAATGACAACCACCAATCAATAATCTTCAAGGATCATCTAAAGATCGTGTAAAAGGATCTATTCAAATTATTTAAAGTAATAATAACCTTGAAGAATAATATAAATCTCCATATTCCCCATCACACCAATCTTACACTCAATAAACTAGACAAAAAAGGGGGCAACGAAAGTGATCAAATTCAACTCTCTAATGACCAATACATGATAAACAATTTAGTAAAAATTCCTTTAAAAGCTACCCAGGGGGTAAAAATTCCTTTAAAAGCATAGGAAAATTGGCGCAAACCTTGACTATGCTAGCTCCACTCAACCAACAAATATGTCACGATTCACATATATCAAATGTACTTACAGCTACCATAAGATAGAAAGTGGGGGGAAAAAATCCACGTAAGGAATTCAGTACCAGCCCAATTATCTTCCCCGTTTGAATCCCAATACATTTTCAGAAATTCTTTTGCCTAATTCAGACAATGGAAGTGATAGAATGCTCTATTGACCCATGTGTGATATCCTTGCATGATACCCTACATGCAAATGGCACAAATAACTGGATCGATTTTTGCAGAGAATTTTTGCATAAATAACCGGCCAACCCTATTCAATTGGGAATAAGTTAAGGATGATGATGATGAATTTTTGCAGAGAACACAGGAAGGGATAATGGAGACCTTAACAATTCTTGTTCAAATGATTTATCAGTTATGCCATTATGGTTATTCTTGCCACATTCGCATCAAAAGAATATATGGCAACCATAAGATTGAAATTAACCATGTGGGTAATCCACAACAATTTACAACCTAAATACACTTTCCATGTGAATTCCACTAAATTCTAAAAGAAGTTTCTGCCTTGCCTGATTTCGTAAACTCGAGGGGTTCACATAACAAGCCAAACGCAGACTAAAAAAAATTTAAGAAATAAATTTAAAAGAAAAAAGACTACCTAAAATGATGAAGTGGTCTTTTAGTATTGTAGCATATCTATTACTGTTATTTTTTTTTCATAGTGGTAAAAGTGTTCTGTTCCAAAAGCCACAGGTTTTGGATGGAAATTGACAGAAGTAAGACCTTTAGATTTTAAACATAATTTTGATTTCATTTAATGTTGACCCATAAATAAGTTGGTCAGTAGGTTTTGTGAACAGACCATTTATCAGTCTGTTTTAGATATTTTTGTAATTAAAATTATAAAAGAAAAATAGACAACAAATTAAAGTAAGGCAATAACAATGATCAATAACTTACCCTTTTAGGTGCTTTGTGAACCAAATTTGTTTGTTGCTTTGTATCACCAACCTGTTACGCAAAAAAAGTAGGCTTTTTTCAGGAAAATTTGGAACAGATGACCAAAATAATTCCAGACCAAATATTATTTTGATGAAGTGAATGTACATATTAATATACCTTCAAACTAACATATCAAACGGAAAGAAGTAAAAATGGAAGACGCAAGATGCATGCACCCTTTTACCCAAAAAAAAAAAAAGATGCATGCGCCATGTACAGCACAATCATTATAGATTGAAATTCAAAGAAATTGCTGAAACTAGAGGATGTTAGAGGCACATTTAGCTCCAGAAGTACGATCTATATTCTCGTCAATGGAACCCAAATAATGCTAAGCAAAAATCCTGTAACCAATAATGGTAACTACTTATACTAATACTCAGGCAGCCCTTCATCTATAGTAATTCATTGGAACAAACACAAACTGAATTTATTAAATTGTATCTATATAATCATATGAACACTTAACATATGTCACTCTGTGATTAAAGGTTAGTGTATGAAAACTGCATACACATTCCATCACATAAGTAGAAACATGCTCCAAAAATAGAACAATAAATAAGGAATCTAATAATTAGCACACATAATTTCCATTACATTATTGCCAGAATAAGCAACCCAACAGAAACAAAATGATAAAATAACAACTTTGGACCTTCCGTAAGTGACCTCCCTCAAGCTTTTGTCTCTTAGCAGCTTGGATCTCTATCCCGCACGGATTATTTGAATTTCTCTCATTGTTTCCAAACAACTTCTCGAACCTACTTTTCACATGTAATAAAATCATCAGAAATCAAGGATGGTACAGGTGAAAAAACAAAAAGAACGATGGTGGCCTCCATATGTTTGAAAATTGGCGCACCCCACTTCTCAAACCTATTTCTCACATGTAATAAAATCATCAGAAATCAAGGATAGTACAGGTAAAATAAATAAATAAATAAATAAAAATAAAAAAAGAACAATGGTGGCCTCCATATGTTTGAAAATTGAAGCACCTCCTCTTGTTAAGGCAAGGATCAGATGGTAGAGGTAAGGGGGAAAAAAATAAAAAAACAATGGTGGTCTCCACAGGTTTGAAAAATGGAGCACCTCCTCTTGTTGTGGGAAATAAAATTCGAATTGATCGCATTGCAGAAACCTTGTTGAATTAAACATCTTGCTGGGAAATGCGGCATTTTCACTGGAAAATGTCTCATTATGTCAAAGCTTTCACTATTCAAACTCCTTTGCTGATTAAATCCACCGAAGGAAAAAACAAAAAAACAAAACAAAAAACAATATTTGCATTGTGCCTACCGGCTGTCAGTTTTTTTAACGGTCAGCCTAAATGTCCAAACAATTTTATGAAACTACAGAAAGGCATTGTACATTGCTTACAAACCTAAAATTTTCCAATGATTACCTGGGATTGGCCACTTGATGTGGTTGATTTTGCTTTGCCAACTGACTTGCTGTAGGTTTCATCAGAGTTGAGGTCCTTGGAAAAGATGGCTTCATATTGGACTTAGTTTGAGCTTTTGTATCATCTTTGTTCATGTGATTATAAAATGTCGAACCTACAAAAGAACAGGAGATAAGCACATAGGGATATGATGCTAGAGGAAAGAGAAACAGGATTAAAGAAACCTGATTAAACAATGACACATGCAAATTGTCCCAAGTGAAAGGCATTATATATAGAGTATAAGTAAGCTATGGAGCAGAGAATCAAGGAAACACAAGCACTTGAAGCATAAATTGGTTATGTAAGCTGAAACTCTTCAATCAAAAATAAAAGGGACTTAAAGAAAACAGATATACTGTAGTTCAAATTCAAAGAGCAGCTGAAGAGACTGAGCTGTCAAATTCTAGAAAAAAACCTCAGCAACACCATCCCAGCACAAGCACCAGAATGATACTAAATGGCACAAAGGAAGAAATCAAAACACCTGTGGTTAATTGCTGGGGTTGAATGTGAAATTGATTTTGAAATGCTTGCAAATTGCCACTACGTAAGTTGGTGAAAATTTCCTCATCCATTTCTTCACTATCTGTAAGACAATATGACAAAGCGCAAACAGTATATCATTCTTCCAGATAAAAAGGCGGAGAATATAACCAAAAATTTTATCTTAAGTGTGCACCATGTACACTATAAAGAATAACTATCTCATTGCTGAACATCTATTACAGGTTTCTTAATAAGAGTTTGCTTTCTGACGTCAAATGGGGATGAGCAAGACAAATAATAATAGCACCAAAAGTGTAAGGCTTTCAGTTGCGGCCTTGGAGGTTGTCTAAACATAATAAAGACCAGACAGTAATTAAGACGAATAAATCAGAACAAAGATGAGAAAGACATAGGAACACGTGTAAACACCATATGGATGCTGAGAAAGATTTTTGCGAGACATAATCATAGGACAAGCTCATTGACTTCATTGTTTTACCAAGAATGACTACCTCGTCAAGGTTTACATAGAATCATATTACAAAAGTTTCTAGACCTGATTGAGTTAAATATATATCCAATTTCAATAATAATAATAATAATAGTAATGATAATAAGACATATTATATAGATACTCTTATACTTTCAATGTTAAGTTATTAACCTAGCAATGAATTAAGGTTAAGTTTTTCAAGTGAAAAGAGAAAATAAAGAAAGGTAAGTTATGATGCCACCTAAAAAAAAGAGCATCATAACCACTAAACGAAACAGCTGGAAAAAGAAGATATATGAGATAGAAAGAAAAAATAAGAAACCATCAGAAAAATTGTCAGGAAGAAAGTGAAATTGTAGTGATTTTGCAGGGTAATATGAGAAAGAGAATTTAAAACATCAAAAGCATTGAACACAAATCTAAAACACAAGAGTTGGTCATAGTTCAACTTTAACTAAGATTACATCATAATAGAAGCATATAAATACATATATTAATTATGAAATCAATCTAGAACATCAGGAATGGAATGAAATACAAGGATAACCTAACTTATATAATAAGATATATCCATCAGCCAGTGCCTATTAGTCACATACTTTCTTGACAAAGATGCCGTTGACAAAATACTTCTACACAAGACATATGGTACTATCAAAAATAAAAGAAGAAGTTCAAAAAATAATAAATAGCTTAACATTATTTAATCATGCTAAAATATACCTCTTCTGTTAGCATCCGTTATAGAAAAGGTTTCGTCCAGACCAGCATCAGAGTCATTATCAGGCAGAGTCGTGTTTTCTGCCTCTTTAGTTTTCGGAGAGACATTTACATTTTCCAGTAGGATGTTCTCTCTTTGAGCTAACCTCATTACAAAAGCTGAAACAAAAAAGGTATAACAAGTAAATATGGAAGAAGATTATCTACAAAATACCCATTTCGTTTGTCAAACAGAAATGCAAAATTGTCCGCATAAATAAAACCTCAAAAGGGAAATTTTCAAATGTCCTTTTCGAGGTTTGGGTTCAATCACAGTGATAAAATTGGTGGAAACAGCTTTTACGCCTGAACCTTTTTTTTTCTTGGACTAATTTTGGGGAAATGTTTTGCTCCAAAACAATGTAAACTTCGGTAATAACTAATCATATGACCCAAACCATTAACCATTGCCAATAATCGAACAAATTTTACATGTATGAAACTTTTTAAAGCTCCAATCAGTCAAACACCACCACAAATGACACCAAAAAGAAAAATCAAGGCATCAAGATTGATTATTGCTTGAGAATCATCTACAGCTACAGCAGAGAGCTCAAATGATGCTAAAATCAAAGAAATTGACCAGAAATCAAAATAGGAGATACAAAGAATCAAACATGAGCAAAGACACAGTAGGGCTTAGTGATGAGACACTTACGAGAAGGTGGATAGCTTCCAGCAGATTCGAACCACAGCTCGGCTTCACGAGTCTCGGCGAGTGACTCTTCTCGGCTGAAATCGAAGTACCGAGCGGCGTCGAACTCGTAGTCAAGATCGATTTCAACAACCGTGAAGGTAAGCTCAATTCTCTCCTCCATTTCTTCGTCCATATCTCTCTACAATGCCGGACTGTAACACTCTCAGGCCAACAAAACAGACGCCAGCAGTAACATCCAAACACACACACACTCTCTCTCTCTAATTTATCTCTCTAAAATCTCTAAAACCCTGAGAGTTCAAACCCGCAGTACCAAGAAAGATAGAAAAACCTATAGATATATGAGTATACTATATATATATAGAGAGAGAGAGAGAGAGAGAGAGAGAGAGAGATATGTTTATGGCACCGAGGTGTAGTTTAGACTTTTAGAACGATCTGAAATTTGAATGAAAGGGGCCCATTTATTGTAATATAAATAATATGGTGGAAGCGTTATTAATTATTTTATGACGATTGTGTCCCTAGGGTTTGTTGAGAGTGGAGAGTTTTGGTGTTGGGAAAAGAAAGAAAGGGTTGGGGATCAGATTGTCAATTTTATGAAAGATGAGGAATTCGTTTGTCTTTGACGGGAGGGGCGGTGTTATTGGGGTTTGAACTCTCCTGCAGGAGCTAAAAACTGTCAAAAATACTGAAATTTCGGCGCGGCTTCGACTTTGCCCTTGTGAGTCCATTGAATTGCGAGATTACCCCTAACGGTTTTATTCAGACTTGTCAGTTTATAAAGGCATGAATACAATGGGGCCCACCTACTGCAAAATTCAAAAGAGGTGGGGTGAGGTCCATGAATAAGATACAACTTCCATCTGTCATATGTTAGAAGTCCACTTAGGACAAATTATTTTAAAATTTAGCAATAAATAATGGATAATTTAAGAGATTAAATATCAAATCAAGGTCTTTACAGTAATAAAAAAAATTTAAAAAAATAAAAACTAATCAGAGTTTAGAAGTATGTAATTAATATTGCTATTTTTGGTAGCATTATAAACTTACCAATTTATTGAGCACCGATCTCTCTTCATCTCTATTTCTGTCATCTGCAGCAAATTTCTTCCGCCACCCATGCCATCCACAAATTTCTAAACTCCAACCCGGCAATGTAATGCCTTTTTAAAGTTTTTTCCTCCCTAAAATTCTCCATCGTCTTGTTTTCATTTCTAAAAAACTCAAGACAAATAAATTAACTTTATCATTACAGCAATTAACAAAATATCCATAAAAATAGAAACAACAAATACATAATCTGATTGAAAAAAAAAATATATATATATATATATATATATATGTATATTGATAGTTTATTGATTAGATACACAAAATGCCAGACATACAGAATTTGACATACATACGTTACTTTATATACATCAAATTGTGTTATCTACATGCTCGAGTGTGCATGCGTGTACATCTTATTGTGTTATCCCTCATTCTTTGTACATGTATTGAAATTTTAATCACTTAATGCACGTCACAAAACGAACACGTAACTTCTCAACTAGTTATAATCGTTTAAGATGAGTCACATTATGCTTGCAAATTTTTTGAGTTAAAAATTCTATATCAATGTCTTTAAAACAAATATATTGAGAGTGAACTTTAAAATGTTCTTTTCCACCTTTGAAAAGGTTTTTGTAAAAGCAAATGTATTTTATTTGAAGCCCTTCTCAACATAATATCTTCATATAACACACAGATGAGCCGGTTCATCTTAACCGTTAGATTGAAAATGTGACCTCATAATGTTCTTAATCTAATGTTTGGAAATTCAAACTTACTTTGAGAACCTTTCATGATAGTCTTTATATATTTATCAAACTGAGTTTTATCGTGAGGTACAATAAAATTTTCTTAGCATTTGTATCAAGGTGAGTGTTCGAGTCTCATAATAACTTTTTTGTAAAATAATAAGTGTCAAATATGTCACAAATCTTCTTTATTTAGAGAGGACCAAAATTGAATAATAACATAACCCAAAAAAAAAACTTGTCAATCAATTATAATTTTCCAAATATATAATAATCAATGAGATAAATATCCTAACAAGAAAGAGATTCATATCATTCGGTTTTTATTGCAAACTATTTATTGAAATCGCATAATTGTAAGTTTACTAACTTAATACACTCTTTATCACTCATGAAGTGGAGGGTATAGAATTCATGTCACCAACAATAGTCCATACTATTCAATGAATAGTGAGTCATTAGTTGTTGCAACCAGACCCGTGCCATTAAATATAAACTTTCAAAAATGTTTTTTTTTGGAAGATTACTTTCAAAAATGTTGTTATTGAGAAAATTAGATTTTAATGACCAAAATTATAAAAATTTGATTTGTAGTGACCTTAAACTCCAAAAGAGACAAATAGTTACCAAACTTAAAAATTAATTGCTAAATAGTGACCAAATGAGATTAATTTAGTCAAAAATACTTATTCAATATATATTATAAAAAAAATCTACAGATACATCATTAGTCACCACCACCGCCGCCGCCGCCACCACCAGAGTCCTGATGCATCAATTTGTTTCATTACCACCCCAAACAAGAAGAAATGATGCAGGCATCCCAAACAAGAGCAAAGCACACCTATTAAAAGCAAAATATATATATATATATAAAATGTTGTTTCTTTATTTCCAAATTTGAAAGACGTATCACTCAATCAACCATTGCCGGGCCATTATCAATTCTTCGTCTTTTTTTCTTCCTATAGATTCGTTTCGTTATCGGCAGTAACTTGTGGATTAAGGACAGGAACACCAAACACCTCACCGATTCTTCACATATGAGTAACAAGGGTTACATAGTTTTAAGTCTATTTGTATACATAATATTGTGGTGACCTTGTGCGCGAGTGCGAGGTACTGACAGGCAACACACTGCATGCCACATCGTCTGGGTAAGGGAAAAGTGAAATGCTTATATGTAGTGGAGTGGGTGGTTACAAACAGTATTAGAGTTTGGCTCAGTCGGAAGTATAACCAACGAGGATGTTGGGCCCCAAATGGGAGGTGATTGTGGAGACCTTGTGGACAGGTATGCCGTGGGCAGGTGCGAGGCACTGACAAACTACCACACTAGGCGAGTTACGAGTGTACAATCTCACATCGCCTGGGTAAAGGAAAGGTGAAGTGCTTACATGTAGTGAAGTGGATCGTTACTAACAAAAACTATCACGTTGCCCTATTTCCGTGACAGATCATTAAATTATTATGAAATGACAATAATACTCTTGATAGTATATTAAGGGCAATACTTGGGTCCAACCCAGGTTGAATAAAGTTCATCCAACCTGGATACGTGGACCAATCAAATTACGACACGTGGCTAAAATTAATATTAAATTAAATTGGGCATTGCCCATCAATTTTTGGGTAGAACCCATTTTTTCTCTCTCATCTCTTCAAAAATCTGCAGCGGCGAGCTCAAATCACAGCAATTACAAACCCAGCCATCACCAATTACAAACCCACTTGCCGCAAATATGTGTGTATATATTTAGATATATAATAGTTTAACTATAGCAAACATCAATTAAACCAGTAGTACTCTTGAAGGGTACCTTCCCCAAGTCCAACAACCTCCCTTAGATCTAATCTCTAAGTCATTGGAGAAGTATTTTTCTGATCTCATAGAAAGCCATAAACCCTGCTCACCCACCAAACAGAACCACCCCAATTACAAACCCAAACCCTTGCCGGAAGACCAAATTAGTCCCATACATACCCTTCATCTACCACCCCAATCTGAATAGAGAGAGAGTCTCATTCGCAGGCCACTATCTCCACCATCTCCGCCGGACTGAACTTCAAGCACAGACCACCATCGCCGGATTGAACTTCGCCGCCCACTCGCCATCACGCGCTGATGCTAGTAGATCTAAAGCGTTTTCACGAGCGGCGCCTTCTTCTCCGGCGATTGCAATACCAGCTTCGAGCTTCGATCGTGATCTTCTTCATGCCCTCTGGCCTCAACATTAATTCTTTGCCGTCGTCTAGCACCGGACCCGGAACTGGTCCGGCCTCCGTTCCTCTGTTGTTGCACATACAGCTGCCGTCGATTGTGGCACATTCATCGGCTAAGGGTCCTTCATACAGCTTCGGCTGGTAATTGAAAGGAGGCAGCTCAGGCTGATCTGAAGAAGAAGACGCTGCTCGTGTTCGTCAAGAGGGAGGATTGCAAATTTTTAGAGAGATAAGAGAGAAAAAAAGGGTTATACCCGAAAATTGATGGGCAATGCCCAATTTAATTTAATATTATTTTTTTAGCCACGTGTCGCAATTTGATTGGTCCACGTACCCAGGTTGGATGAACTTCATCCAACCTGGGTTGGACCCAAGTATTATCTATATATTAATATTTTATTAAACTGAAATTGTTGATTTTAAATAATAATTATGCCCCTCAATATCTCTGCACTCAAACACGTGTCAGTAGCCTATTGGTTGCTGACTTTAACATTTTTTTCTTTTCTTTTTTTCTTTTCAACTAAACTTTCTCTCTTTACCTGTAATACCCCTAATTTCAAAAGGATAGTCCTAGTATTTAATTTATTGTTTAAATTGGATTTTATTTTTTTTTTATGTGCATTAGTTGATTTATTATTTAAATTATTCTTTAATTGCAGTTTATTCTTTATTTGCGTTTTATGTGTCGTAATTGATTCGTTGCTTGATTATTTATTTTATGTGTTGTAAGTGATTCGTTGCTTGCTTATTTGATTTAATTAATGGGTTTTATTAAATTAATTATTTATTAAGTATTTAATTTTTGAACAGGGTAATTATGTAATTCCCATTAACTAGGGTTTTAGATACGTTTTAGTTAGGGTTTTTGGAGCCATCTCATAAGCATCTGATATGTATCTAAACTGGGTTACTTTGTGGGCCGACGAAGTTAGGGCTCTGTGGATTAGGATTTTAATCTTGCAATTATAAATACCTCAGTATATGTTAAACCTAGGGTTACATATTGTCGTAGCTTTTACATGGAAAAGTCTGCCAAATAGAGAGAGTTACAGAGGGAGTTTTGGTGAGAACAGAGCAGTTTTTGAGAATTTCGGCTGGGGTTCCAAGGTTTAACTAAGGAGAAGGAAGGAGCAGAGGTTCTAGGAGGTTAGACAAGTTTCAGTGGATGTCGAAAAACTGAGACCAACGGCAACAAGGGTTTGGTTGCAAACCTATTCAGGCAAGTTCTATCTTCCTCTTTCCCTTTGAGCCGTGTTCTGTGCACCTAGATATGCTCTAGGGTTTTAAGGAAATTAACAACTAAATCATTCATGTATGTTATACATCAAATTAATCATATGTATGCTTTGAATTATTTCTGTGATGATTTCTGCAATATCTGTTACAGTGCATGCAAGTTGGTTCAGTTTTATGTCCTTTAAGCATGAGGGTTTTTGTCGTAGTCTTTATCTCTGTTTTTTATTGCAACTACTGTAAACTAAGTATGGAAAGACTACGGGAGTTATGTAAATCTTATAGGAAGGTTGCTATTTCTGTTTTAGATCTCTGTTGCATTTTGCTTCGTTGTAATCC